CTCTTCCCCTTCCTCCTCCCCCCTTCTCCCCTCCTCCTCCTCCAATTTCTTTCTTAGAGTCCCTCTGATTGCCCATCTTATAAGGTGGTAAACGTTTATATCTGCTGATGTTAATAGTCCAAGACATAATTAACTTGAGGTTCCTTAGATCATTTTATCTTTCTTGGTGTTAATAGCAATGGGGGTAATTATCGTGTCGGGCGAACTTATAACATATAATCTCCCTTAAGAGTTTTTAAAAAAGGGAAAGTAATAGGCACACTCATATCACGCTACCTTGCTGAAGTAGTAATTATATATATATATATATATATATATATATATATAATAATATAATATAATATATAATATATATATATATATATATATATATATATATATATATATATATATATATATATTATATATATATATCTCTCTCTCTCTCTCTCTCTCTCTCTCTCTCTCTCTCTCTCTCTCTCTCTCTCCTCTCTCTCTCTCTCTCTCTCTCTCTCTTTTAAATATTTTTTAGCTGTTTTTTGAAAGTATAGCTTATTCGTTCTGTTCATTGTAGTGATTGTGCTTCTGTTGAAGGTTTTTGGAATAAAAAACTTGGTCGATTTTTGAAATAATAATGATAATGGTACTATCTACGATTACTATTGTCAATACTCGCTATAGATTCCACTACTACTATTGGCATTACTACAACTACTACTACAGATGCTGCTTCTACTGCTTCCTACTACTACTACTACTGCTACTACAAGTACCACTACTTTTACCGCTACTAGTATTGTTATTACTACTATTTCTACGACTAATGTTATTGCTGTTGTTGTTATAGCTATTACTACTACTTCTTGTGATAATAACGATTACGGTAATAATAGTAATAGCAATAATGATAATGATAATAATAATGAAATTTAATAATAGTAATGGTGATTATAATAGTAAAAATGATAATAATAATAATAATAATAATTAGCATTGTCATTATTATGTTTATTATCATTATTATTATGCTTATTATTATTATAATCATCAATATAGTGATGATAATGAGAAATGATATAATAATAATAATAATATATTTAATGATGATAATGATAATAGTGAAAAATAATAATGATTAGTATTGATAATTAGCATCTTCATCACGACATCGTAACAATAATGATGGCAACTCTGATAATGACACATTTACCTGGGACTAAAGGATGACTGACGGACACAAACACACACACATACATGCAGTCAGACAAACAGACAGACACACACAGCCTCTTTAAGCGCAATCAGAACACGCCCGCCGAGATGAGCGGAGTCTGGCGCCCTTGGACCAGAATGTCATCCTGCAATCCCTGCAATCCTCCCCGCCGCCCTGTCCTTGCAGAGCCAGAAGTCATCCTTCCCGGACCGGCGGCAACCCACACCGTTTATAAATATTAATGCACGTTCGCCTGACAGTCGCATTATTCCTCGCCAGATGTCGCCGCCATTTAGAGCAATTTCCTGACATTTACTGCCGCGCGCAAAATTGAATTGGATTCAAATCGCGCGGGATTCCGCGAGTGCCCCTCTGTAAGCCAAAAAAAAAAAAAAAAAAAAAAAAAATGCAGTTTCTTTTCGCCGCAGAGTTATTTGTCAAACACGAGCAACAGACGTAACTGCTGTGAAAACTGTTTGTCTTCACGTCGGCGGCAGGGATGCAGCGGCCTATTACCCGAGCCTAGGGAAACGAGCCTCCGCAGCTGGCTGACACATCCCTTCGCAGCTCGCAGCCCCCGCGCTCTTCTTGCGCTGCAAACTCGATAAGGCACAACAGCTGCTGCACTTCCGGGAGGCTCGCCGCGATTCCGAGGAAGTTGAACATTATCCAATCTTATCATAAAAGTCTGAATCATTATCATTAATCTCGTAGCTTTTCAACGGAGGAAGTCCATCTGACGTTGCGTCAAATTAGCGAGATTAAGTTCGCGGCGAGTAACCCGACCTCCGAGGTACTGTTAGAGCCGTTTAACCTGCCGGAGGTGACCCCGAGAGGCCCGCTCCGCCAATAATCTTTGCCAAGTGTTTTAGCGGGGCAAAAACCGGGACTGAAGATTCACCCTAAAGTCTCCTGCGCAAAAAAAATTGGGAATTATGGAAAAAAAAAAAAAAAAAAAAAAAAATAGACTAACGAAGCGGGAAGATAAATTTCAAATATTTTTTTTTCTCATAACAATGGACGAGTGACCCCCAATTAACTCTGCCCAGGGGGAGGCTAAATTTCAAAATTATTAAAACAATTTGGATGACATTTTAATCACACTGAAATATGTTATCAATATATTTGATTTTTTATTCTTTTTACATTGATAATTTCAAAATTTCCGTACGGGATGAAAGGGGAAAGGATAGGAACCAATCCTCCGTTTCTGGACTGAACAATACCAAGATTTCACGAGCTTGAAATAAAGTCAAAACCCCAATTACTTCGGTTTCATGTCTTTCCGTTCGGCTGGAGTGACTTCTTCGTATCCTCTTCCTCTCTTGTGGTAAGGACAAAAAGGAAAAAAAATAAGAGAAAAAAGGTAATGAATAGAATAAACAAAAGAAAATATGCAGCACGATTAATATATAAATGCATAAATTCTCCTTCGCCATCACTTCTCGACCCAGATAACGAACCCCGAACTAGGGGGAAGCGAAGGGGGGAGGAAGGCGAGGGGGGACTAAAGCATTTTCCTCCCCGTTGAACCATCACGACTGCTTGCGGTTACACACGCACATTCACCTCTCTCCGTTCTGTTTGTTAATTCGCTCGCGATAACCCCAAAAAACGTAAACAATAGGCGGTCAGGTGTTGAGGAATGAGGTGGTCCCTCATAACTGCTTGTTAATTCTGTTGTTGGTGAATACACGGGTCTTTTTTCTCGTCTTTTTTTCATTTTCTTTTTTCTTTTTTTTTTTTCCTGAATAGGTTGGAGAGAGCAACGAAGACCCTCTTTTGCATTATGCTTGCCTGACAGGTTAACAGGTGTTGTGTCTGCCTTTCAGCCTTGTAGAGTTTGTTCTTTGTCAAGCGGGGATGTTAGACATCGATTGCACAAAAGACTCGTTTGCACAGGTCGTCGCCGTAATGTATAGACGAAAATTGGCAAAATGGGAACACGGGCTTACAAGCATTCGTAATCACGTTCATTTGTCACTTTTCCTGCTACGTATGGATGAACAGATTATTGAATTCTTGTTTGGTTTGTATGTGGTTGCAACTGCTCTTTTAAGAGGAAAAGAGAGAAGAAAAGAGAGAGAGAGAGGGAGGTAGGGAGGGAGAGAGAGAGAGAGAGAGAGAGAGAGAGAGAGAGAGAGAGAGAGAGAGAGAGAGAGAGAGAGAGAGAGAGAGAGAGAGAGAAGAGAGAGAGAGAAAGAGAAGGAGAGGAGAGGGAAGAGAGAAGCAGGGAGATAGAGAAGCAAGAGAGAAGAGAGAAAGCAGAGAAGAAGAAAGAGCGAAAGAGAGAAAGAGAAGCAAATAGAGAGAGAGAAGCAGAGAGAGAAAGAGAGAGAAGCAGATAGAGAGAGAGCAAGATGGTACCGAGGCCAAAGGCTTACCGCTTGAAGCCTGTGCGAGTGCGAGCCTGAGCCTGCACTCGCGGATATGTCACTCAGCATGATTGCGGGATCCGAGAGGGTCTCAGCAGTGTAAACCGGATACGGGCGCCAGTTCACGAATCCGGAGAAGCTCGATTGCATAAGTGTTCGCCGTGCAGCGCTGTCGGGGGGATTTATCACTTTTCGGATGTGTGTTTAGAGCCTCGTTGTGAATAATCATCTTGGGAATGAGATGAGAGCTCTGTGGTTCTTGGAATGCTCCCTCATCCTACTCCTGTCTATAGTGATGGTCTTGATGTAGTGATAATGATGTTTGTAATGATGACGATAAAAAAATGATGATAATGACTATGAGTAATGATAACATAACAATGATTTTGTAGTGATAATGATGTTTGTAATGATGATGATAAAAAAATGATGATAATGACTATGAGTAATGATAACAATAACAATGATGTTTGTAATGATAATGGTAATTTAATTGACGATAACGACTATGCGTAATATTGATAACAACAATGATGTTTGTAACGATGATAGTAGAAATTATATTAACGACTATGAATAACATAATTAGTTTTAATAGGGATGATGGAAATAAAACCAACAAGATGATAATAAATAAAATAGAAAAAAAAGAAAACAAGAGAGTATTATTTTCAGTGACAAAGAGCGCTGGCGTGGCACTTTGTACCCGCGCTCTCCAACCCTCGTATCTCTGGGTGTATCTGAAGTTCCCAGGGTTTATTGAACAATTAATGAGATTCCTTGAGTAAATTAGCTCGTAAAGAACGCCCTTGTGACGGCTTGATGTATTTATATTAGGGAAGAGAAGAGTGTGTAATTTTATGCCGCTTAATCTGCAAGGGCTGTAATTGCGTTTATACAATTCTGCATGCAGGCAGCTACTTAAAAAGCAGTAATAGGTATGCAGACTTTGTGCACACACAGATAAATACGTATATTATACTACGCACACACACACACACACACACACACAGAGTCACACACACACACGAATAGAAGTTAGGTCTGATTGAACATTTGAAAATATATATTCATTATAAAGATTGTAAAAGAATCAAAGTATATGATACAAATTTTGTTCGATTTCTGGATGAGGATAACTGAGCAAGTTTTTTATTATTATTTCGTTTAATGGGAACATGTGGCCGTCAATCTCTCTCTCTCTCTCTCTCTCTCTCTCTCTCTCTCTCTCTCTCTCTCTCTCTCTCTCTCTCTCTCTCTCTCTCTCTTCTCTTCTCTTCCCTTCTTTTTTTTCTTCTTTCTTCTCTCTCACGCACATACGCAGTCCCCTCTCACCTCTCTCCCCTTCCCCCTCCTTCCCTCTTCCCCCTTCCTTCCCTCCTTCGCTCTCATTCTAATTATCCGTTTTTCTCATCCATGATTTACCTTTCCAG